TAGTTTTAACTAGGACAGTTGTGTTTTGTCTTCATGTTTATATGAATGTTTATGCTTCACTTCACATTTATTTCTGAGAACTATGTTGCTATTCGATACTTACAATATTGTGCAAACTGAAAGAAAAATGTTAGATTAGCTCTATGAACTAGTGAGGTTTTTCTGCCAGTTTGTACAGTTGAGATATTTTACAATTTATAATTATTTACATGTAGATTATGTAATTTTATTTCTTGTTTATATTGCCTTACTAATACTTAACCTCTAAAGTTAATGTAATTATGTGGTGATGTGAAAATGTGAAATCTGTGACAGTTGTTCAGTTATCATCTCTCTGACTCGGTGCTGTTTACACTTTTTTTTTTTTCACACCAACGTGTCACCTCTGAAAACGATGTGACTGCCACAGTCCTGTGTCTAGCAAAGTTTGATTTAAACATTTGGTTGTCTGGTTCTGAATGAACATTTATGTTTGACTGATCTGAGCCACTCAGACATTCTAAAAGTGATACGATATCACAAATAATGTCTTAATTTGTGGATAATTCTATGGTAGGGTAATACCATAGCCCAGTTAACGTTTGTTGACACTCAAGGGTTTAAAAAATGTAAAAAATATTGTAATCTTTTCTTGCAGTAACAGAAATATCACTTGAAAGAAAAGTGCAACTTTTACATAATTAGCACCTCTAAATCCTCTGAAGAATCAATGTATGCTTTATTTTGTTATATTGATCAAAGTGCTTAATTGGTATGACTCCATGACTTCCTGTTTCCCTGTGGAACAACTACGATGTCACACAGTCGCCCCCTTAAATGACTCCATCTTCAAGTTTGGTCGGTGTGTGTTGTTGAGCTTCTTAAGGGAGGAAATGACTTCAACAACAAAGCTTCTCATCTCAGGTTTCCCACGTCAAGTCAAGTCAAGTCAAGTTTGTTTGCTTTGTACCTTTCAGGTCAGACAGTTCAAAGTGTTTTGCGTGAAAATACATAACACACTGAAAAAGGAAATCAAGAAACATGACGATAGAGCAGGGAGGAAGACATCACTTCAAAACAAATGTAAAAAAGCCAGATTGCAGATTGCGCACAGGAGTAAAGACCTTTATTTCTATAGAAACGTCCTGATGTCTGATAAAACTTAAGAGGAACCGTTTGGCCTTAATGACCACTGGTGCATTTGAAGGAAAACAGCGATGCATGTGTTTTTTTTTTTTTTTTTCCTTTAACATCTTTAATTATTTGAGAGCATAAATGAGAATTATGACCTGTTTTGCATTAGTCAAAGGGAGTAATTGACTTTGCTGAACAGAGAGGTGCAGATGTGACCTTTACCGCTGCCTCTCTCAGCAGATATTAGTTGTGGAAATCTCTCATAAGAGATGAACCGTTGCTTCAGTGACTCAGAGGTCAGGATAAATGTTAACACCGTGCCATGCCACCTACCACTTCCCCGTGAGCCTTTCTCACTGAGTGAGAATTCGATGCGAGAAGAACAAAGTCTTTTGCATTTTGGAATACCGTCATGTTTCAATCTCCTCATGCTAACGGTAGTTTACTTTACTGGTCCTGACGTGGTGAATTATGTAATAGAAGATAACTCTCAAACTGGAGATTTTTTTAATCTTCAGGATTCCAGTTAGTATCATTAAGAGGTGAACAACAGAATCATCTGCACAGCAAATCTGCAGAGCTAAATCAACTCTATGCCCAGTCTATTTAGTCCTTGTCAGAATCGGTGTTAATTTAAATCTTTTCAGAGTTATTTCAACAAGAAATTGAGTAATTTTAACCCTTGAAAAAGTTACAACTACTCAAACTATTGTTGAAATAACTCTGTAAGAGTTAAATTAATGCCAGTTCTGAAAGGGACCAAATAGATTCGGCATAGTGTTGATTTAACTCTGCAGAATTTGTTGTGTGCTGTTGACATCTGTCACTATGTCGTTCAGAATCAATTATAAAACCAAACCCAATACAAGTGCAGTAAAGGGGAAATTAGCATTTGATCCTCTGTTGATTTTCATAACTTGCTCAATTACAAGGATGCAACTCAAATGTTTTTTTGTTTTTTTTGTTTTGTTTTCCTTTTATACAATGCGTTTTTCATAACTTTTTGTCGATATTCTGGAACCTTCGGATTAAAAATGACAATCCTGTGTTTGGAAAACAATTTTACTTTTCCAAATCGTACTTTTACTTTTTAAAATCAAATGGAAACGTTACAACTGTTTAAACGTTTCAAATGTTTTAACGGACCAGTGAAAATCTGCCTCTGAAGATGCTGACACCTCACAATTTCTCAACAGAGTCGCCACTTAGGTAGATCTGAACCTTTCTGTTAAACTCAATATGAACTACAGACATTTTTTAGTTAGTTTACACACACACACACACACACACACACACACACACACACACACACACACACACACACGCACACACACACGCACAAAACCACACACACACACATTTGGCCACATTCCTAAAATAATGGCCTGGGTTTGTTTTTGTTTTTGTTCGTTTGTTTGTTTGTATTTTTTTGCAAAAAGTGATTTTGGTTAAATAATAATAATAAAAAAAAGAAAACATTAATATTTTAGGAAGGTGACGATGTTAAGCTTCATATCAGAAGCGTAGCAAAACGTTAGTTTTACATGACCCTCTGCTGCCATCTGGTGGTTGAAGGTTGTAACTTTCTGCTAAGGTTTCCCAGCAGTTTCCTTTAACAGTAGCTCTCTAACCGCTCGTCATGACTGCAGCGGGTCCTACTGCTACCGTCACCCCTGGCTGTGGTTAAGCGCAAACAGCTTCACTTGTTGCCAAAGCTTGTTGCGGCTTCGGCTTGTATTTTCCGTGATTTCTACACGTAAACAAACCACTGTGGCGTTTTTTTTTCCAGCTTAGCAGGAAATGGTTACATCAAACAAACAAGACCAACCAAACTGTAAAACGATGAACCCCAAAGGAATAGAATCTCATCTACAAGCTGAATGCAGGGAAGAATTAAATGTACTCATTGTTCCCTGGCGATAAATAACAAGTTAAAAATATGATAAATGTGTTTGATTAACAGTACATTTTTATGCAGAAAAATAATTGGATGAAAACTTTTGACTTAGTGATATTGTGAAAGGCTCAAATTTAGCATTTTTGATTTAGATTAACTGGAGCAATGAATATCAGACAGATAAAAGCATAGTGTGTAAGAATGTGGTGTTGTGGGTCAAAATAATCAGTTGGTCATCAGTGCAGGAACTCCACAGGGAACTGTACTCTCACCATTCATTTTCACTTTGTACAGTTCATACTTCCAGTACAAAGCAGAGTCCTATCAACAGCACAAACTCTCAATTGATAGTGTAGTTATCAGGAGCATCAAAACGACATTAAAAACAGCAGTTGGAGGGCTTTGTTGCACAATGTGGGGACAATAATCTTTGAGTTAACACAAATCAGTTGATTGTGTTAACTTTCAGGAGAAACAGGAAAATGAAGAAGTAGAGACATAAATGTGTCAGTGTTTACCGGTCGACAAAAAGAGACAGAGGGAGGTTTGTCCATTCAGAAATTGTGGAAAGATGCTGTATATCTTCTATAAATTTATTATGGAGAGTGAGACCTCTTCTGTTATCATCCATGAGGCTATAGCGGCATCAACCAGGGATTTAACAGCTGTAATACCGACCCCTACAGGAGATCCTTCCTAACCACAACCTTCAGTAACAACCCTTTGTAGAAACTTGAATAGTTTGAGTTCAGCAACATTTAATTTCCCTTTTTGAATAATAAGAGTATTTTTTAACTGAAATTAATTAATTGAAAATGAAAGCAAAAGTGGGAGCTAACTCTATGTTCCTGATGTCTGAAAAACAACTTACTTTAACATTCTCATGACTGCAGAAAAGAGAAAACATCTGATCCAAGTAACCAATGACAAATAGCTAGCAAGAAGAATTCAGCTAGCAATAATCACATCCAGACTGGTGAAGCATCTGTTTCACCAGCAGGGGGCGCAAAACACCAGTATTATGAGTGCAGCCCTCTGCGTTTTTATTTCCAGCTTTTAATAAAAAGATTTTTCTTAATCTGATGCCAATACAATATCAGATGAATAGTAATGTTGTGATTCTATGTCAGAAAATCTTTGTTGGGTTTAATAAATATAAACATAAAAGGAGCACTTTAAAGTTTTTATAGCTCTGTGTGAAGCCGGTGGTAAACCTTCGTGAGGTTAACCACTCAGAGACGATGACGCAGAAACACTGTCACACTTTCCTGGAGGTGACCTTCATTTCTGTAGAACAGGTAAGGAGAGTCTAGAGGAAAGCTCTTCATTTTTAAATTAATCTCAAACCCACAGGTTACACAATAATATTTTTTAAAGAAGTTATATCAAGGTTTGTCACTATGTTAGCTTTCAGTTACATACATGACTCACCCTTTATACTTTTCCACATTTTGCCACTAGAAACACAACGGAGTGTGTGATCTTGAAGTGGAAAAAAATGATGTGGTTTCTAAAATTTTAGCACATTAAAAATATGAGTAAATGCCTCTGTTATGTGAAGGCTTCAGATTCTATAGATACGACAGTGAACAAGCATCCAGGAAAACTTGACCAATCTCTTGTAAAGTGTCAGCAACGGTTAATCCTTTAAGATCTCTACTTCAAATAAAAATAAATGTCCAAATGTTTACTCTCTTCTGGTTTTTCACCCAAACTTGTGACTGAACACTATATAGTTCAGTCTTTTGGTCTTGCACTGATACTGGGTAGTAAATTTGCATAATATGTTCCACAGATAAGATCACAAACTAGAACAACTTGAAAAATCTTGGCTAAGAAAGATCTCTGTGATTCATTGTTACATTCATGACTCAAACCCTTTACACTTTTCCACATTTTGCAATGAAAACAATTTATAAAAAAAAAAAAAAGTAAATGTTTTACATGACAAGAACATGAAATTTGTGTGCAAAACTGGTACGGAATGCAATACAGAGCACATTTTATATTTAATATTGCAATACCTTCATTAAAACATGTCTTAGCCAAACCAGCTAAAGGGTGGAGCTGTTTTAATGATTTTCTGTATTTCTGGGTTCCATACAAAATGCTATTTGAGGTTCAAAAGGAACATTGCACTTTGCCCTGGCCCTTCACCCACACATACACACATTTCTTGTAAACTTGTAGTTATTTTGCTTTGTGTATTTGTCATTTTGTTTGTTGAAGCACTTGAAAGACACGTTTTACTTTCTTTGCTTCTTTCCTTCCTCCACAACCATACATGTTTGGTTGACTGGATATTTTATCTTACACTTGGTGTTTGAATGTTTTTGTCTGGTTTGTGTCTGTAGTTGACCTTTGTTGGGCTGGTAGCCAGTTCAGTTCAGGGAGAAACCCTGCCTCTCACCCAATGACTATTAGAGATACAGGCTCCAACATTCCTGTGACCTACAAGTCGGCTGACTGAATGTATAAATAAATGGACCCATAGGCAGTTCAGTCCACGTCCTGTACTGGATGAACATGATGATCAGCAGACATCCCAGTCTTTGTTCGTTTCCCTTTTGCTTCTTTTGTCACAATTGCTTCTTGGTTTTCCTCTGTGCGTTGTTGCGAAGACGCTTTATTTCCAGAAGCAGCTGAAAATTAAAAAAAAACAAAAAAACATAACATCAGTCAACTCCACAGCTAAATATCCATCTTCTCAGGATACTTTGAGAGGATGTAATAATCCAGTACCTGCTTTTTCTTTCTGGGCTTTAGTTCCTATGTAGTAGAGCCAAAAGAAGGCAGTGATGAGGGCGATGATGGGCAGGGACCTCAGGATGAAGGTGAACATTACCTCCTGGGAACCATCTAAATACAATATGCACACAAGTTATTGTTGTCAGTTCAGCTTCCATTTTTTGCTAAGTGATTGGCATGAACAAGTACCACTGTGATGATGGGCTGAAAACTTTAACAAGACAAATGGAAAATTAAGACGTCCGAAGGAAAGGCTACTTTAATGTTCTATCGTCTTTTATGCTCTTGCACTAACCTGCACTCAGTGTCTCTTGTTAGACAGTCGATTCCCAATGAGAGGTCTCTCATTCATGTCTGTCCTATTGTGTCTAACATTGGGGAACGCTGAGTGCTTTAACTGCGCGCTGCCATTCATAAAAATAAGGAACATGACAGTCAATCCCCAAGTAGGAGAGGAACCCTTCCTCTGTATGTCAGAGAAAATTGCAACAATACCTTACAATACTAGTTATTTGTAGAGATAGATAACAATTCAATAAAAAGTATGTGCATATATTTATGTGTCTCTGTGTGTGTTTGATCAGAACGCAGTTGCAAAAAGTGAATAAAGTGGGCCAACTTCACTGAAACACGCTGTTTGAGTTTTCACGGTGTCCGTAGATGAGAGCACAGAACACGCGTATTTTGCCACCTGCTGAGTGGCGAGGAGACGCTGAGTGGGAACCGTGTCTGATGGGGAAAGGTGAATCTTATTTAACAGTTTATCGTGAGTAGTAGGCTAGTTGTTAAATTTACTATTTACATAATCATAAAACATACATAACTCATTTATTTACGCGCATTTTGAAGTATCGCAATCGAAAAGGCAACATTCGACATAAGTTTCTCAATTTCCATTGAGGTGGTCTTCATTGAGTGCTGTCTCCATTTTTCTGAAATGTGCGGTTCATGTTAGTTTGAGACCTCTGCATCGTATTTATTAGTCATACTTAATGTTCAACATCGGACAAAATTACGCTCTGCGTAGCCTGGTTGACTTGCTCCAAAACGGTATGAAAACACAATTATTATTCTTACTATTTCTTTTTTGCAAAATTGTAAAAGTTTGCTCACAATTCGCATGACAACGTGGATGGAAACATGTCTCGGTAAGTCATTATATATTTCTTACAAATATTTGGAGCTCTCCAGTGATCTGAGGAAATGAAACATCTTTGTTGTGGTTCGCTGTTATGTGGGTTGTGCAAAGTCTTGGTAGTTCAACATGTTCAACAAAACATCTGATTTACCTTCAGCTGGTTGTTGGTTTTTTCTTTCTCCCGATTTCTCCCTGGTTTTCTTCGTATCTGTAAAATAATCAGCTAAAACTTCGAGTATGGATTGTTGGTAGCTCCACATGGTGTCTCTACAACAAATTACACTATTGTTAGTTGCTAAAACATATCAGATATGTCACTTACCTTTAGCAATGCGATTAATTGGTCTGTCAGTTGTTTTCTCTTTGTGTCTGACTGCCTTCTCTTTACCTTCTAAATAAAGATAAAGACAGATAGAGTTTCTAGAACAAACATTCTCCCATATGTTAGAAAACATTACATTAAACTGTCCATTGCTGTATTTCTATGAGCATCAGGTCTCTGGTGTTTTGTCACCTACTGTCTACAATGTGGGTTTTTCTGTTGTCATCTCCTTTGTCTTCAGTTACTTCATCTATCGTCTTCTTCTCTTCAAATTAAACAAATATATTATTTTACGGGGCGTAAATATCTTGGTGAATCTTGGTCAAAAGAGTTTTATTGGTTACCGTTTCTAGTCTGGTGGTCTGCGCTGTCAGCTGGGTTCTCTCTGGGTGTAACGCTGATGGTTGTACCATTTCCTTCAGTTTCACTTAAAACTGGTATTTCCACACTAACCTTGCAGATGTATCTTCCTGAGTCGGTTCTTTTAATATTTTCCAATGTCAGATTCTCACATTTGTTTTTATGCTTGTTCCAATAGCCTTCAGACTGATTCATGACAGTCTTATTCTTAATTAAAGTTTGGTTTTTCAGCCATTTCACGCCGACTCTTTCAGAAGTGCCAGTCCAGCAGCAGGTGATGTTCACCGTCTTTCCCTCCAGGATAGAAACGTCCGCACTCTGTCTCACAACAAGAGCGTGGGACAAAACACCTGTGGAACATCGGAAAAAATATTCGCAAAATGTGAGAAGTGGAAGCAGTTCTGTTTTCTGTAGTATTTATTCTTTATTAGTTTTTCTGGAAAGGTTAGTATGCATTCTGATGAGGCTCATTCATCAGATTATAAGTACCTTTTGAAAATAACAACCTTTTGGTCTGATGTAATATTATAATCCTAATTTTGTGTTTTCATTAGCTGTAAGCAGAAAATTAACATAATTAACAGAAATAAAGACTTGAAGTCATCAATCTGTGTAATTTATTTACATATGTTTTACAGAGTGAAATAAACTGAATTTTATTTATTAAAATAAATTAACTTTCAAGAATATTCTAATTTATTGAATATGACTGTCGATGTGCATAATAAAAACACAACTTTCTTCGTTTATCTTTGTAATTTTGTTTTGCAGAACCACCAATTAGAACAATTAGTGAAATAGTTATATCGATTTGAACTACATTCTGTCTTTACACTTTGCAGGATTCATTAAAACATTTTTATTCAAATATGTCCTCCATCAACAGATTGTAATTAACTTTACATGACATAGTTATATGTCAAGAATTTGTGATATTTGAAGCAAAATCAAAGTTTTTCTGTTCTTACTTACCCCAGGTCGGATCTAAACCGACACACATGAGCAGGAAACGCATCAGGAGGTTCATCCTTTCTCTGAACGCCGACACCCGACTGTCTGCAGTCTGAACAGAGCGATGATGCGTTCTGTTCTGTTCATCATCTGAAAGTCTTCACAAAGAGAGACGCATGAAACCACAGGCTGTGTTATTTCCTCCATATGTGTTAGACTCACGCCTCTCCTCACAGCCCATTTCTCTAGTTTTTTTTATTGCTGCCACTCTTGAGCAAGTAGAAATCTAAACATAGAATATCTGAGGGAAAAGTTCATATTTCATAAATGTATTTAAAAGCCATGAATGTCATAGCTCTTAAAATAATGTGAATCAGCTTAGATGCAACATAATCCAAGTGCTTCATTATGCTATAATATAAATAGCACATGATCCATAACATAATTTGAAGTCCTATGACTCTTATACATAATTCAGTCATGTTTGATATAAAAGTGTTTCTTTTCTGCTGATCCTGTTCTAATATACCATTTAAAGTATTGTTTTTAGCTTAGCTATTAGTCCTGCTAATCTTTTAATCTTTACCCTACGGACACTTTTGTTTCTTTGTTGATCTGTTCAAAAGTGAAAAATTGTGTTTTCATAGAACTGCTATTCTTCTTTTTGTAGGTCTTAAACTGGCTTCCCAGCAGAACCAGAATCTGCTTTTGAGATTTTCTTTGTTGCCTCTCAATCAATGACTTTTCCTCCTCATCGTATCAGTAACACGACAGCAGCTTGTCGTTCAGAGGCTCCAGCTCGCATCGAGGTCTGAACCATCATCAGGTCTGTTTATCGGAAATGGCTTCACTCTCTGTTATGGACAGCTGAACAGGAAGACGCTGAACCACAAACCTACAGACTCATAACATCGATCTGCTGCAGATAACTGCAGGACTGACATGAAAACTCAAGAACTGAAACGAGAAACACACATAGAACAGAAGTCATTTGGAGAAACACGATTACAACACCTTAAATAATTACAGTCATGTTATATGTGGAAAAATATGGATTGTTCTAGCATATATTTCCTAAATGCCTGATTAAACAACAAAATAATTGAATTGGTGGCATTTGCACTCAAGAATATTGTGAATTCAACAACATGTTGGGTTTATTTCCACAATCCTCTCACAGGAAGATGAAAACATGACTCCAAAAGTTAAGATCTTTGTCCCAGAGGTCATTTTCAAATCATAATCTAATTTGCTGTGCTGCTTTTGGAGAAATCAACACAGTCCTCTCTGAGCAACTTTTCAGCCCATGTAGGTACAGGACTTGTTTTGTTGTGGATAATAAATCGCTTTAACAGATTTCAGCCATGCCTCTGTGGAGGATTGGCTTGTGGTATAGTTCTAATTGTTATAATAAATGTTAATAAAACTCTTAAAGACAAAGGGCTCAGTTCTAATCACTGAAGAAAATACATCTTCAGAAACCTGTTTATTCCTGACCATATTAAGGTCAGATGTGTTCATGCTGTTTATACAAATATGTAAGAGTCCAAACAATAAAAGTGGCACCTTAAGGCATCTGGATGCTGCAAAAGGAAACAGTGTGGTTGAAGTGTTGCGTTAACATGCATTCACAGTTGGGGGGCTGTGGTGGCGCAGGGGCAAAGCATGACCCACATACTGAGGCCACAGTCCTTGTGTTGGTGGTTGCAGGTTTGATTACCAGCCTGGGGACGTTTGCTGCATGTCTTCCATTTCTCTCTCATTACCGTCTTTCCTGTCTAACTACTATTAAATAAAGGCCACCAGAGCCAACAAAACCTTAAAAAAAAAAAAACAAACATGCATTCACAGCTTGTGAAGCCAGAAGTCACAGACGGCACTGTCACTTGGACTTTCTCAGATAGCTTAAAGGAACAGTTGGTTCAGTGTATGTAAAAGTCTGACAGAAGCAAATCTCTCTGGTTATTTGCCTCTGTCTATTTGGGTGCCACACATATCAAAGGTTGGTACAGAGTAGCGCCACTTATACGTTTATAAAGTTTGTGGTTGAGCTTTTTCCTGATCTGCCCTGCTTTCACACTAACAGAGCATGAGCTCATGTTTCATTCACAGCCCTAGTAGAAACAGACGCACTGTAAACAACTGAGCCTCTAAGAGAGGAAGTATTTTGCAGGTCTAAGAATGAAAAAAATAAATAAAACAGAGATCTGTGAGTGAAGATGTGGTTGATTCTATCTTCATTTTCATTTATCCTGGATCACTGAACTCTACAGAGCAAATTGAGATCGAATTAAAAGTCCTTTCACATTATGTAAAGACAGGATTTCTATAAAAATCATCAGACTGGACCTCAGCTCCTGTTCTCTTTCCTCATCCAGATAGCGCGTGCTGCTTCTATGTGCCTCATTTCTTTGTAGTTCTTTTAAGGTACTGCTGATTCCTTTTAATGAAGCTTGTTGGTCTTTTTCATTGGACATTGAACCCCAGTGAAACTCTTAAAAAGATTTTTAAAAAACATGCATTTTAATAAAAATGACCTGCAAAACTCATGTATTTACTTTTTAGAACCAATACAGATGGATGGACTTTGTCGATCTCTGTTTGTGAAATGAAGTGACGCTTCAGAGAGGAAGGAACCTGGTCTATGGTTTGTCACATTAATTCTCAAAAACAGAGGAGCTCATATCTAAAAAAGGTAAAGACGGTTCATCTGTCTTAGAGATCATACTAATAGAGAGGAGAGCCAGTTATCGTTATTTAGTGTTAAGTGTTTATTGGTTAAATGATGGGACTTCTACTGACCAATCTGCTGCTCCTCTGTGCAGGTTCATCTTGGAGTGAGTAACTTTTTTATATATTCATTTATTTACCATTTATTAATTTATTGTAAATAATTTCTGTTTCTCAGAATTGAGAGCTAAATAAAAGAATGAATGGTTGGTAAACAGCTAATGACAGCCATATCGTTGATTAGTTTGTATGAAAAAGCTTTTACTCAGAAACACAAAACCTCGTGCTCAACATGGACGTCAGGTTCAAAGACTAAAGTATAATTGCAAACTGATGAAAGTAAAGCATTTATTTCTAAGTTAAACTCTTATCCATGGTGAGTAAACTATGGCTGGGAATTGTTAATAAGAGACAGTAGGAGTACACAGCTTGATCTGTCATTAGTCAGATAATAAAAGATTAATAGAACAATCAAACTATATTAAATGCAGCATTAATGAGCCGATGACTTCATGTTTCAATGCAGAGGAACAACTCAGACCTGAGTATGTTGAAAACTAATCTTAATGTTTGATGTCAAAAATTAATGTCAGGCATTATGTAAATATGAATATTTTATAAAATGACAAGTAAAAACATTTAATTCATCACTGTCTCATCAGGAAATGCAATTGTAATGAGCAAGAGTGACATTTTCCTTCAGCTTTTTTCTGCTCTTGGTTTAAATCAGACTTATCATTTAAATATATCCATGAAGCTCATTTCCATATCAAAGTGGAAAATCAGGACATTTTCAGCTTCAGACAACTGATCCTCAACTGTGTCTCTGTCCAGGTGTTTCTTCAGATGCACTTGTTGTTATTCAGAGTCCTGATGTTTCTGTCCAAGAAGGAGAGACAGGAAACATTTCCTGCTGCTTTAAAGGGACAGCTGAAAGAGTTTGCATTATATGGCTGAAAAACCAAACATTAATAGAGAATAAGATTGTCATAGATCAGTCTAGAGGCTCTCAGAATGAGACGAAAAATAAGTGTTCAGATCTGATGATGGAAACAATGACAAGAAATGATTCAGGGAAATACATCTGCAAGGTTATTGTGGAGATACCAGTTTTAAAGGAAGTTGAAGGAAATGGAACGACCATCACTGTTAGAGCCAAAGAGAACCCAACTAAAAGCACAACAGAAAGTAAGTGACTGAAACATGTTTCATTTGACTGTTGGGTGGAATTTGAAGTTCAGAATTCAGAGAATAATTACAAGTGTGAATCTTATTTGATGTTCCACAGCTGCCTGTCTGGATTTTACATAAATAATTTTATGGAGTAAATTAGCCTCTGTTCAAAGTTCGGTTCAAAGTTCAGACAACATGGCAGCACCAGAAGATTTCACTTCATGCAGTCTGGAGTTGGTATATATGTTCTTCTAAATATTCAAACTGTTTGTAAAATCAAAATAGAAAGTTTGACTTTCACTAACTTGTACATTTATGTTCCTCTGTCTCTGTAAAGCATCGTTAGACCATAACAAACCTAACGACATCATCTTCGTCCTGAGGTGTCTGCCCATCCTCTTCCTCATCGCAGCCTTCGTCTGTTTTCAGTGTTTAGTTCATAAAGCTCAGGAGAATCCACCACCAGGTACAGAGAAGTTGTTAGATTAGTAGCATTTAGTGCATTAACAACAGCAGAGCTGACTGATGTTTTGTTTCAGCTGCTCCTGGAAATAAATCCACTTCAGCCCAGAGCAGAGAGGAAGAGCGAGGAGACGACGGAGGAGAAGAGAGAGAAGAAGAAAATGAAGAGACAATGAGCTGAAGACGATCACTTCATCTAGAGGAGATGCATTCACAAAACATACTGTAACAAGTGTATTGTTACAGTATTATATTTTTGTGAATTACTCATCCAATATTTTTAGTGTTCCAACTTCAGAAAGGTGAAGAATAAGCAGATGAAAGGATGCAAGTAACAAATGAACTCTGTTTAAGGACATGGAGTGGTTTCTAGATGTAACTTGGCTTGGTGTTCATTCAGGATAAACAGCATAGCCCTGGTATCAAGCCAAAGTAAAATTAAGTCAGGTTAGATTAGTAGTTTTCACTAATTACAAAGATAATAGAAGCCAAAGTTACACAGTCTGGTATTTGTGTTTATATGCAATCTATGTACCCATGTAACAGATTCCACCAGAGGGATTATTTTGGGTGTAATTATAGATTTTCATAGACATGTTGATAAAATTCCTGACTGTGCTCACTTCATTAATTGAACAGAAAACTGACAAAGCTGTTTGTCTTCAATTTTTCCAGCATCCTGCCCTTTCTCTGTCACTGTGATCACTATAGACAGACATTTCCTCCTGCTTACAGCTACTCCTACGTACAGATATAATAAATTAGAACAAACATCCCGATGAGTCAGAAGAAGCTTTTGTAAATAACAACTTTTAAACAAGTTTTAAATATACTTTTCATTAAGGCCACATTTCTGTTTTAAACAAAGTTTTGGGTTTTTTTTTTAGTCTGATGTAATATTCTAATTGTAAATGTCATGTCTTTACTAGCTGCAAGCAGAAAATTGTCATAAATAAAGGTTTTCAAATATTCATCTGTGTGTAATTAATCTTAATGATAAAGTCCCTACAATGTCTGATTGGTATTGTTTCTCTGTAAAAGCACTTTGAATTGTCTTTGACTGAAAGGTGCTATATAAATAAAATTGCCTTGCCTTGCCTTGCCTTACAATAAACAGGCAAGCTACCTTTCTAACGATATTAAAGAACTCAGAAATCAAAACCCAAACACCCAAAGATCGATACAAAGACTGTCCTTTCTTCAAAGTAACCTGCAACATGCAAATTTAAGCAGTTCACAAGCTTGATCTTTCCTTTCTTATAACATTTATTTTAGCAATGGCTTTGAGAACATGAATGTATATGT